CGAACATCCGGATCAGTACCTAACAGAAAAGTACTTTCCGTGCAGGATTCGAACCTGCAACCCACCGCGTCACACTTTAACGCTTATCCAGTGCAATGCAGAGCTGACAAAGGCAATCCCATAAATAGTATAGAATCGTCAGATAACCGCATAGCCACATAGATTAAGAGCCAAATAATTGTTTTAATATCTTGCAACATTACGCGTTGCGATAATATTATAGTGGCGCTTCCATACGACCTATTTATAAACTTACTCATACATATGTATATAGCCTCCGGAAAAGGTCAACAACCTCTCTCCCTCGGAACCTCTCGATATTCGTCAATTTGAATATTCCACCCTCCCATTTTTAAGGATTAGATTTTTCCGGAAAATCCATCCCGCTTAACTTTAAGTTTGTTTACATTAAAGCTTTGAACGTAATTGTATATCATAAATCTTTAACTTGCCTTATGTTTGGACACTTACTGCTTGGCATCAGGTTTGCAAATACTTTAAAAAAAATGAGGATCAGCATTAGTCATGATTCATGAATTTTGCGCCTATTATATTAAGAGGTCCTTAAAGAATTAGTCCAAAAAAAACTAAAAAATGGTTCTAAACTAACATTATGACATTTGTTATAGTTTCTAGGCTACTACTATTATACTCAACACATACAAACACTAGATACATATTATAACAGATTATAATTACAGATTCTTTTACCGCGTTAAAAAGTAGCATATCTTTTGGCTATTTTTTTAATATCTTTTTGTTATTATTGTGATCTCATTAAAGAATTGAGCAATATGAAAATATAATATTAAAAAGGGCTTTACAAGGTCTATATCTCTAATGCAAAGATCTTTGTTACAGATGGAACAGTAGGTATCTAATATTTTAATATTAAACAGAACGGTTCTTCTTCGTACATACTTATGGATACGATATTAACAAAACGAATTCCTTTTTATAAGATTCCGGCGGCGCTCATATCCGGCTTGAAGGATCAATAGCGGAAATGGATAAGAAATGATCCGGAATAACCTCAAGGCGGGTGGACGGTTTTCTTAAGTATATCCACAGTTCAGTAAGCATTATAATTAGGCCATTAGGAGAAAATACACATCTTGTAAATATTTTCATTGTGTTATTTTACGACCTAAGCTAAAACTGTTTGTATATTTTTCATTTTTCTTACTGAAAACAATACGTACGAATTAGTGAAGTCAAACACTTGACGCAAGTTTCAACGGCTTGTGCTTCAAGTCTGGATGTCTTACATTTTATAACAATTGCCATATTCACTTCAACGACTTACAAACTGTTGTACTAATCAAACAACGCACTACTAGAACAATAACAGCCATTGTTACAAACTTGTCCTCGTTGTAATGAGAAATTGCATGAAAAATAAAGCTATTACAAGGTCAGGTGTATTATGAGATTTTCCTGCAAAAGAAAACTGCAGTTTAGCTAGACCGGAACTTCCAAGGTCGCAGACTATACGCACACATGTGCGCCAACCTCCCCATACTCATACCATCCGAAGCACGTGTACGCTCTCCCCTACACATGGTTGTCATGACAACGCAGCATCACTCCACGCCCACTACTCCGGGGGCGAACTCTCAAGATATTACGCCCTACTTCGTTCGTATTGGTGAACCAAAGGGGTGTAGTTACACTGTGTTAGTGTGAGTTCGCTCAGAGCGGTTAGTCTGGAGAAATTCACCAATTTCATTTTCCAACCGCATTCCGTACCTGATGTTAGTTTATGTACTTATAATAACGGTTATTCTAAGAGTCTACTATTTGACAATGGAGTGAAAATATTCTACAATAAATTTATGTTACATCTAATCATCTAAATTAAACATTTACATTTATATTCATTTTAAGAAACTTAGATACATCAATAACATCAAATCTTTTTTATTAATAGGATGATGAATTAAGGAAAGGTTTTAGATTGCTTTGCTACTTATACATCTGCACTAAAATAAAATGAGAGAATTGAGTGGACGAGCTTGTCTTTTTTGAATGGAGAAAAATATAGATACATAACGAATGCTAACCAAGCACTCGACTCCATTCGCTACATTCACAGGCCGCTCGTTAACAAACCTATTCAATTTTGAAGTATTAGTCGATTGAAGCAACATTTCTCGCGTCCTACCGCCGCGAGTTCCAATTAGCGACTGGAGCTTGTCGTTTGAGTGGCGGTGACGTCACGCGGCGCTTTCATGCGGTTTCAATAACTACCCTCTCCATGACTCCTTCAATAGCCGGCCACTCCACCTGGCCTTCATTAGGGACCTCAATGTATACGCTAAGCTGAAAAGGCGACGGGGGTCTACTAATTTAAAAAAATACAAGTTTTAACGAATAAAGTTGTTTAGCTAATAAAGAGCTAACTCCCACATTGACACTGCGGTAATGTGATATATTTATTTCTTAAAAATTATTACGAACTGTTACTGAACAAAGCGCGCTGGCCGTCTTTTGTTTCTGGTCGGTCGCGCCATAGACAAATCTTATTATGGAAATATTTTCAAATTAAGAACGCGCTCCACTCCCGCATTATGCGTCTCGGCTGTCATCATTGTCTAGGTTCTTTTTGTTCATCCTCGCATGTCGAGGTTTTTCGACCACCGTTTCGGTATTTTTACTCTCTTTTTGTTTATATTTTTTTCAAGCTGTCCCGAGCGTGAATGGTGGGCTTTGTTTGTTCGTGTTTTATTATTAATTAGTGGGAATCCTTTGTTCGTGGTAATTATTCGTCTTAATAAGCGGTTCCTGCTCTTCGAATACGAACGAGTGCGGGAGGAATTGTCAACCCTTTTAGTTTTTTAAACGACTGATGGTGATAAGGCTTTTAATAACTGGTTTTGGTTAATGGTTCCCTACTATTGTTCCTTGGCATAATTTTCATTTTTTTTAATAAATTTTCCTTTGATTTTAAAATTAATTATCTCAATAAGTTACTTATGTGTAATGGTTTTTCTAACATTTTTATATGTAGTACCTATTAAAATTGTCACAATTGTATTATAAGTACTTTTTAACATAAGAACTTTTATCGATTCGTGAATAATAAAAATGAAATATTATATGGAGAATTGTATAATTATTATCTTGCATTATAATAATTATACATTTCTCTTCACAATGCATGATCATCATCATCATCATAGCAGCCCTTCACAAGTGTACTTCTTAACATAGGCCTCACCCAAGGAATGCCACAAAGCACGGTCCTGAGCCACCTGTATCCGTCGACTTCCTGCATGTCTTACCAGGTCGTCACTCCATATAATAGGGGGTCGCCCTATACTTCGCCTACCGTGACGAGGCTGCCACTTGAGAACCTTTTTTCCCCATTGTGTTGTCTCTGGTTGTCGGTTCTTCGAGCTATATGGCAGGTCCTTTGCCTTATTTTACTTACATTACTCAAGTAGACATTTATATTGAAACTACATACATTTTACATTGGAAATACATTTCATAAATATCTATTTTTATTTAAACAGTAATTAATTGTATGTTGTGACTGAACTTTCAGTAAAGTCAGTAAATCTAAGCCCATTTTTTAAAATACTCGCATAGTACTCATCATAACTTTGAACTTAAAATGCCCATTCAAGTTGTTATTTTTTTATTCCTTAGCAGTTACTTTTCGTCTTTGCACTGTAAATGATCGCACAGTTTTCATGAGAATTAAATGCTTTTTTGTAAGCATCATATTTTCTCTGAACACCAAACTTTAGAACCTCACAAAATAAGGGCACGAAGAAACAAAAACCGCACACGTCCTTGGACCACCTTTTGGTTCTCAACGTAAACCGCCACAATTAATTTAGCCTACGTGTCGCCCACGATACTGTCGTTTATTTCGCATAATAAAGTGCTGAAAAGAAGTCCCAGTTTAATTAGAGGTGAGACACTCAGGCTCGGAAGCGCGCGGCTGAATGGCACTCGTCGGACGCCATTTTGCATAATTGGGCGACGGAGGGTAGGACGAAATTTGTACGGCGCCGCGCCAATTTACTTGCTAATGACGCGTCGTCTTCCCATAGACAGTCTGGCGGGTTTTTGTTTATGGCACGCTATTTTTTCTATGAGCGTTTTTTGTTTTGACCCGGATGATTATTTTAAGGTTTTTTTGTAACTTGATTCCTTGCAGTTATCGCAACAACAAAAATAACATGATACCAACAACAAAACCAAAAAGAATTCACCTGTGAAATGCAGCTACTTGAATAGCTGATATTTGAATGTTCCATTTTGTGAACACTTTCTACCGCCATAAGAAGATTCGTATGCCTACATGGGAAATAGGAACAGATAGAGCACAGAAGTTAGATACACATTTCAACTGGGGTTCCAATATACGGACTTTGCAATATTCTTTAGAATAGAAAGGATACAACATGAAGGTGTGAAATAGGAAGTATCAATTTAAATTGGAAGAAAAAAATTGGATTTAGATGAATTGTGTTTGAAATATTCGGTTTTGGAGACTAGAATTAAGTTAAGAGCGGTTAGCTGGCTACAGCAACCGTACAAGTTGTGGTATAGGTATGAGAAAGAATGTCAGGAATAATAATATGTTATGGTGGGGTGTTGAGGCACGAATGGAAATTGAAGCAAAGAAGAGAGCATGGCGATATGAACTAGTAACTAAAGCTGGTAATTTTGGTTGCATGGATGAAATTTGGTTTGATGAGATTAAAAGAAAGAAGCCAGTTTTAGGTGTCAATTTGCTTTTATTTATTTAGCGTTTTCAATGGATAATAATTGACCATTAATCATTTCTGAGGTGCATGTAGATTGGAATTCGAGGGAAAGTAAATTGGCATTTTTTTTTGCTTCATATCCAAAATTACTGAAAAACTGTTAATACAAAACCATATTACTACAAAAATATTATAAACTGCATTACATTTTGACAATATTTCTTACGAAAAATTCAATCGTGAATAATTTTTATCAGTTATTTTCTTTTGTTTCAGACCAGTAAGATGGGTCTACCTGCAGGTGGCGGTCTTTCACTGTTCTGCCCGGGTGGTGACTTAGGGCAGCCACCGCCTGCGCATATGGGCATCCCTCCGCCCTATCAGCTGGACTCCAAACTGGGTATGTGATTATGACTTTTTATAGAACTTTAAAGCGTTTTTTTACTTTTACGTTTTTCGCACGTTTAAGAGAAACATTTTTTTTTCATTTATATAAACTTGTCATTGTTATTGTTGCTAAAAGTTATTCATAATTAAAGTGAGTTAAAGTTACAGGCTGTATATTATGTCTGTATGTATAACAGTTGATTATGTGATCAGTTATGTATACGAATGTATTGTGATTGCCCGCGTATACCTGACATAGCATTCTAAACTTTTCCCGATGGTATCGATTGCTTCCGTTTCATCAGATAAATAAAAGTGAGGATAAGTGATACCTTGATATTCTAACTCGATAAATAACCACTTCTCGGGGATCAGAGATAAAATTCTGTTGAATTTTTAAAATAATTCTAGATTATCTCATTTATACGGTAACTAGATAAATAAATAGTGTTTAATGGAGATTTGTAGGTGAATTATAAGCAAATACGTATTAGATTCGTGTCGATAGTTTTGTGGAGTTTCCTTTGTCTATAACCCCGCAACCCACTGAACCTGTCATGAGAGATCTATTTGACACGCTATCCAGGTAGCTTAACTAACGGAACACTGGTTCTCACATTACCATTTCTAGTATTTCCTAATTTTTTTTTTCTGCTTTTGGTTAATTAAAAATAATTAATTCTTGCCTTCGTCTTCATCATCATCACCGTCTCCATTACAGCACGCGATGAGTGCACTGCTGATTATTATCCTCACCTATTAGCCTCACCAAGGAATGCCACAATACACGATCCTGAACCACCTGCATCCATCGATTTCCTGCATGTCTTACCAGGTCGTCACCCCATGTAATGGGGTTTGCCCTACACTTATCGATTAAACAAATTTTATTAAGTTTTGCTTATATACGTCTTTTTTATAGAATAATATTGACTAACAAGCCCTCAGCCCACCTAACGGAAATTTTTTACGGTGGTCCGTAGACACTACACTTATCCTCGAATAAGAATCAAAATGTGACTAAGATAGAATATCTCGTTATCAGTATAATGCGTCTCTACACTCACTGTACTAAACACAGCAGCAATTAGGTGATAGCGTCGTACTCCCCCGTTCGAGCCGACCCATTCGTGCTGCAACCGTAACACCTATATTTTTTATATAGAAGAGGGGGGCAAAACGAGCATGAGGCTCACCTGATGTTAAGTGACTACCGCCGCCCATAATCAACCGCAACACCAGAGGAATTGCAGGTGCGTTGCCGGCCCTTTAGAAAGTAGTAAGCTCTTTTTTGAAGGTCCCCAGGTCGTATCGGTCCGGAAAAATCGCCGGTGGTAAACTATTCCACAGAGAGGTCGTACGCGGAAGAAAACTCCTTATGAAACGTACAGTGGTAGACCGCCAAGCATCCAGATAGTGTGGATGGTATCGGGACGTTTGCCTCGTAGTTTTCTTCACGAAATTTGGCTGTTAGGATTAATCCGAACAATTCCTCAGAGCACTCCCCATGGTATATGCGAAAGAAAATGCAAAGAGATGCAATATCTCTTTGCAGCGCCAGTGAATCGAGCCGATCGGAAAGCACTTGGTCGTCGACGATTCGAGCCGCTCTGCGCTGGAAATACATACGCAACCTATAGTTGCAGCGTAGCTATACCACGACTAACACCACCAGAACTACATTGTGTGTTCTAGAGATGGGCACAAAAAGGGTAAACATTTTGAAAGTTAGTTTTCTATAATGTAGTGCTATGCTACGAACTGACGAATAAGCGAACAGTCCGACCGATTCAAACAAGACCACACTAATGGGTACACAGTTGCTTAACAGTTAATAAGAGGGTGATATCGATAACACAGACTCCTAGGCTGAGTAGAAGCCTTATTAGTATGTACCTGTCATTAAGGGTCTGGACACTCTGCCAAAACACTGTCGTATTAAAAAGTCGCCGAAGACTTAAAAACTCGTGTTCTTTGTTTCAGCAGCGGGTTTAGCGCGGACACCCATGTACCCTTTCCCAGGGGGTACATATCCTTACCCTATGCTCAGTCCGGAGATGTCACAAGTAGCGGCGTCGTGGTGAGATGTGCATTTGTTTAATTATTTTTAAACTATCTTAACTTGTAACATCAATTTATATAAGAATATATAGGCATGATATCGTATTTATTACCCCCTTTAGTTTTGAAGTATACCTACTATCAGCAGTTATCTTACGTATTATTTTTATGTCATAAATGTGAAAGTTTGCCTGTTTTTTATTCAATAATTTATTACAGTCCATCAAAGTCAACTGCTGATCACAGGCTGACTCCCAATTGATTACTTCATCAAAAGTATATTTGCCATAGACGCCAGACTAGTTGGCAACCACAGATTTTTCTTTCCTAGTTGATATTAAGAACACAACGGCTGACCATCTTCTTTTTGTGTCGCTCTTTCGCCTCTTATGACACTCGAAGAATAATATTGGTTAATGGATATTCTAACACCGCCACTACTCGGTCAGTTTTACATTTTTCACTTAATCACGCCGAAACAGGTTTTTTTTAAATAAAATTTGATGAAATATTTGATACTTCTATAACGCTTTAAAGTGTCGGCGAGCGTTTACTTTTATATGTATGTATATGTATATAGAGCTATCGAAGTGAGCCAGTCAATTTATAAAAAAAAAGATATTTTATGCAGATATAACTTTTTATCATTTGTTTAATTTACTTATAACTATTATATTTTTAACTATTTGTTAAGTTTCTTTACCTTAATGAAAGCACTTCAGTATTATAGTTAAACAGCCTCCGTTTCGATAAATGAATGAAAAGTTACGTCTCCTGTACTAATATACGTGAAAGAGACTTAAAAAGTTCTTGTATGACTTTTTTCTCAAAGTGCATTGTTTCACTTGAGAAATGAACGAGCGCTGTATCGTGCACTCAGTCTGTCTCATGTAGTATGCTTGTGACTAAGGGCCGCCTTAAGTGTGCCAATTTGTACGCAGTTTTTTTTTTAATGAAATGTGAAATAAAGTGAAGACGCCGTCCTTACATAAGAATGCAGATGCAGATCTATTATTCGTATATCCATTGATTAATGAAAACAGGTCTACTCCTGATACCTTTCGATATTAGGACTGTCATAACATATATAAAATAATATATGAAATATTATTTTATTCATTAATTACATCCTACCAAAAATCCACTGCTGACAATAAAGTTGCCACCCTTAACTCCTGCCAACAAATCTAAAACTGAAAATTTATTTTGTATTATATTGTTTCATTAGGAAGATTCCTCATTCCTCTCTGTCGGCTCTTACTACATCTACGCGAAGATTTTGTGGAGTAGTGGATTCTCTTACGCCGCCACTACATGGGGTAAAATAATACTAAATATGACATATACAACCATATTTCCTGGGGCAATTTGAAGTTGGGGCCCATAGACATCTACCTATATCCTCAATTAAGAATCAAAATTCAGATGCGTTGTCACCGCTGAGGACTAAGATGGAATGAATTTTTACCAGTAAAAAGGATATCCGGTTCTCTGCACTCAATATACAACACAGCAGCATTAAGCTGCGCTGGTATTCTGTGAAAGCGTGGACCTACCCCGCTCGAGCCGACCCATTCGTGCTACAACCATAATATAGCTGCATCGTGGCTCTACCACGTACAAAATTTTACAGACGAAATTTCCCTGTAACATTATTTCTTATTAAATTAAATTTCAAACTTATAGATCTAAATTTAGCCCTGTGATAGTGGCCTAATTACTAACCTCAACCGTAAAATTCGAGTCAGGGTATTAACAGGATCTTGTGGCCTTGTGAAGAATGCTCATAGAAATAAATCCATTAATAAAAAACATATTTACTGGCACAACGACTGTAAATAGTCGAATAGACATCACAGATATTGTGGGAGGATAGGCATAGTTTCAGTAATACTGGATAATATTTCACAGAATACTTTCAAGCAAATACGTTCAGGCACAGTTATAGTCTATTTACTAAGATAGTGTCGGTACACCCAGAGCGGCGTTTATTATTTTGCTTGTATTTTGTAATTTTTTATTGTGCTTGTTAAATAAATTTTTTCTTTTCCAATAATTAAATAGAATAATATTTTATTCTTTTGATTATTCTACTAAATTACGAATATAAATGATAAACAGAACTTAGGTAGCAAAGAACATTTCACTACGGCGATTTATTTTAAAATGCCAGATTCTCCTGCAGGTGTACACCGCACTCGGCATCCTTTGATGTCGCGCCTTTGACAACATGCGACACAAGGGCAACCGTATCTAAGCGAACATACTATAATTGCCTTTATTGAATATTTTCATTTTTTGTGAAACAGGCATACTCCGAGCATGTATCCGATTTCTTCGGCTGCCAGTGGCTTCCGAAGCCCATACCCCACGTCGCTACCAATCAGCAGTTCTAGTCTTTCAAGGTTGGTACTTATCTTACATACGATACATTAGCGACTCTATCACTCATAATATGCATAATTTTATCATAGTAACATATTTAAAGATTAAATTACAATATAATATATTTTATCACTCTTATTATTTATAATGCAGAGGTTACTCAATTAAAGCCTGATCAAAAAATTGTTGTTGGCTAGCGTGCCATGTTAATGCTCATGTTTATCTCATTGGGTGGGGACCTGGTGATTTGTAATACAAGCATTTTATTGCCTAAATCATACATCAGCTCCTCACATATTCTAGACAGTAAGTATGAACATACCAGTATTTCAATGAAGTTCGTATATAAGATGTATGGTCTGTTTTTGTGAAGAGAAATAAGCATATAATATTACTGTGAACAGAACAATGAGACAATAACGAAAATTACAAACTGTGTATTTGATGTAACACAATATTCTTTTATTCAAACACACTAATATTACAATTTTTTATGTTAACGTCTATCCACAATGATCTTTATTGAATAGAATATTTTTAGTGTTGAATATTTAACAGCGTAGCATAATATTTCCTCACATTTTAATATTATGCTATTGTAACTGTCATAAACTTACAAAAAATAACTTTTCATAACAAGTAAAAACAAACTTCAAAGAACTTAAAAGAATAAAATAAGTTCACAATTTCATCCGATTCATCATCAGGAAGTTAGTTGAAAATCAATTATTAAATTCGACTAGAACAGATATGTGAAAGCAAGTCAATAAAAACGTGGTAAAACATGTTTAACAAAATCAAAATGTAAAATATACTTCTTTTTCAAAATTTCAACCTTTAAGAAGTTATGGCCGTACACACTACACCTGGCCGTTTTCTTAGAAACATGGTAAGTATAAATCAGTGTTTAATTTAAACCCACCTGGTTATATAAGCAGCGATAAAACCCTAGGTCATAAACCCTTTAGCGTAATGAAATACTTTTTTACACTTTCTTCAGTAGTTTCACGCTATTCCAGTCCTTTACTGTACGCATTACGAACAACACACCTACGTCAATCATATTGTTCGAGCATGTCAAGTTTGTTGCTTTATGTAAAATCGCTCTTATTGGATAACTTCATCAAAAACGTTAGGAGTTGTTTTCCAGAACGCGATTAAAAATAAATATATAATATTGCACGTAAAAGATTTTTATTAAAGTGGACAAAGGTCTGTTCTTAAATATTTTGCTTAAGGCTGGCAACACAACACATTAAACACATTTATAGTTCTTTAAATATAGCTTGATTACAATGACAGCTGTCATCAAGTGTGACGACATAACTTTGTAGTAACGTCCAACCTTTAAGTATTAAACCAAAGGAAGCGACATCGCAAGGCGTGCCACTCTGTCAATGGTACGAGAGTCCGACTCATACCCGTTATATAAAACTAGTTGCTCCGCGTCGTGCGCCATTCCGCAAGTGATCGTACCAGTCAATCGAGCTCCGACAAAAATGCCGAATTGCAGTGTATTTTCATGCAAAAAGCACTCTAAAACGTCAAATCTTCAAAAAGACGTGACTTTTCATTTGTAAGTATTTTTAACATAATATTATCCTTAAAACTCGTATTTTAAAATTAAGTATATTAACGAAAATGTATGTCCTATTAACTAAGTCAGTTTGTGATATATGAATGATAATCATTACATTAAGATGTGCATTGGATTTTGTCAAATGTTTTAAATATTCAGCTTTACATCAACACGATTCTGAATATATTATAATTTAATATAATCGATTACTGGTATTTATCAAAATATTATACAAAATAAAGACCAAATGAGTCGAATCGACACTTGCTACCTCGTAGCAAAAGCATTCAATTTTAAAAAAATAATGGTATCACTGCAACCGAAAGTACTACAATGTAGTGATGTACGCCACAACTTTAGCTATCGATAAGTTAATTAACCATTCGGATTTGTCTGCCGAACTGGTTTTTATTTTTTGTTTAGATTTTAAGATAAAGTGTTACAAAAAACAGTAAATTTTTCTATTATTGGTTTGTTTTCATATATTTCCAAGAGAGTCTATTAGGCAGCAGACTTGAATTGCTGGTTGTAGAAACCATGGATCTTGTATACCTAAACGGACTAGCACTTTTGAAAAATCATATTTCACACCCCAAGCTATCAATAAAAGAAGGTTAGCCGATACTGCTGTACCAACCTTGAACTTCTGGGAGGTAATGTCTAGTTGTAATTATATCAATAGATTAAATATTTTTATTATTAACCTTGACACCAATATTATTCTTCTTGAAAATATTTTAGAATTTTGTTATGTTTACAATAATGACTTTTTGTATTTACGCGAATACTACACATTAAAGGAAACTAATTTTACGTATTTTATCGCATTCAATTTTTAATTTTGATCCCTGAAGTTTTGAGTGCTTTACAGCGCAAATTTGATGTCGCTCCTTTGACAAAATGCGGCACTTACGACGTGGCACAAAAACTAAGCGAATAGACTGTACACAAAGGAAAATTAAACTAAAAAAATGCCTCGAAATAAAAAGCAATAGCATAAAAAGGCTTCAATCGCAGTAACGGTATTTAAAGAAAAAAGTTACAAGTTTGCAAGAAATACTAGATTCGCTGACAGAGACATCTTTAATAAATAAAGAAAACAAACAGGTACTAGAAAAGATAAGAAGATAAGAACTAAATATTTCACGGAGTTAAGCTGTTTCGCCCTAAATCTTGATTATAAACGAAAAGCCTATCGCTATGTACGTAAAACTTTTGAAACATGTTTGCCTGCACCACGCACTAAGTGGTATATTATATCCGATAATTCCGACGAAACTACTGACGCATTTGTATTTTAGTGGTCGGTATAAACACAACGTGCAAACTATTCATGGCCAACTTTTTGATTACCGATAGAAACAAAAGGTTCTAGAGTGGCAGCCTCGGACCGGTGCGCGAAGTGTAGAGCAAACCCCCAATAGATGGGGTGACGACCTGGTAAGATATGCAGGAAGTGGATGTATGCATGTGGCTTATGACTGCTTTGTAGCATTCTTTGGGGGAGGCCTATGTTCAGCAGTGGACTTATGAAGGGCTGTAATGAATGAAATAACTTGATCAAAAATGGTACCAGGTTCCCGAAAATCGCTTTAAAAACGGTCCGAAAAATAAGACCACAAATACTTTTGTTGTCGTATTTAAATTAGTATGGTCCAATCATAGTAACGTCAAAATGTCAAAATTCCGCAGTGCGCTTTCTAAAGCTGTGTAAATAACCTCCGTAACACCAAAATTTTGGAAAGAATATCTTTTTTTTTAAATAAAACAATTAAATAGTAAATATAATTCAATTACGTAATATTATGATTATTTGGCCGATGTTTGCTACAACGCACCAACAATTATAACAAACAATTTAATGTAAAATGAGGTAAGCACGAAATTGTCAACTTAAAGTTTTAACCTTATTATTACTCAAAATTTTAGTTTCATTTTAGAATAAATATTTTTACACTTATGACATTTTATTTGTCCGACAACAGGACTTAAATAAACATATTTTGCAGTGGTAAGTAAACTTTGTATTTGAGTAATAGGGTTTATAATAAACTGAAGTTGTTAATATATTATTAACTTTTTTCTATATTTCAAAATAAGAAATATAGATGTTTACGTGTGTGCAAACGTGGCCACTTGAGCGACCTATTTTTGTTCCTGTGTAGCTTAATCTATAGTATGTACCAAATCGATTGAGAAAAACGGACAATGACCTCAGATATGAGCCGAGTTTCAAAAGGCGTAACTTACAAAATCTCGATTTTGATGTGATAACAATATTTAAATATTGATATTAGTCATACTTCTAGGTCAGCACATATGTTTTGTTACTTTTTTCTTAGATAATATTGTCTGTGGCTCCTATAAAAATCGTAAAATCTTACGGTACATCACGAAAAATGTGTTATATTTTATATTTCAATTTATGGTAAGTAACGCAGTAATTCATATAATAACAGTTTCATATTAAAAAAAAAAATATTTGAAGCAATATAATCACCATATTGAGTTTTTGCAAATTCATTCTTTTAAAATAAACAAAACGCGCGTTACGTCAGTTCATTCTAAAAGAAACGTGACAATGGCAGCCAGAGATGCATCACCTCTTTTGAGCCGGTCCGCTATTTTGTTTTCATTCGTGTTCGGATAGCACTTGCGTGTGTACGTCTCGGGTAATTCATAGCATTCACTGCATTGTTTTAGTTGAGTTTGTACTGTTACATTTGTTATATCGTTAAATTTTTGTTGTTGAATCTGTTATATTAGTTTTACTGTGACGGTCGCTACTAAATCGCCATCGGAGAATCTGGTGAAGGACCCGGCCCTGAGGGACCTCAGGTGGAAAGAGACGTCGCCGATCCATAATAAACGTAGTAGGTACGTACAAATAGGTAAAAATGCGACGACGTAGCCTTTCCATTTCTTAAAGCACTCTTTTTATGTGACCATGTGGTATTTATTTTCTAAAACAATATTCATTTATGTTGTGTATTACTATGGTAGTATATTTTTGTCATTTGTTTGCAGGCCCATCTTCTGTAGCACCTTTAACGTCACCAGTAAAAAAGAGAATACCTACCACTTTGTCGGTCGGGGAACAAGAGATTATCATTAATGTATACAAATATGTCAAAAACACCTGGCCCAAAACGTGTATCCTTCATACGTTAAAATGGAAGAAAAGGTTTCGGAGATCTCAGGAGTCAGCAAAAGCACTATATATCGCGTATTAAGCGTGTATAGAGATTCCCATAAAATACCAGGAAAGGGAATAATTAATAAAAGAAAGAAGTCTGTAATTGACAAGTTGGACGATTTTGATAAATCGGCTATAAGAGCGAAAGTGCATCAGTTCTTTCTTGCAGGAGAATTACCGACTTTAGACAAAATTTTGCTCAGTATAAATCAAGATGACCAGTTGCCAAACCTGAACAAAACTTCCCTGCGACGTGTGTTACGCCATTTAAAATTCAAATATGTAAAGAGAAACAGAAAAAGTGGTCTAATAGATCGCCCAGAGATAGTTCTGTGGCGTACCAGATATTTGGGAGAAATACAAATACGAAACATGGATTAACGCAGGTCATACTATGGGAAAGGTATGGGAAGACACCACAATTGAATCTACATACCCCTAAGTATATAGATGATTTTTCTTCTACAGCGATCTTTTACATAACTTTTTAGTAATAGTTAATATATATATATATATATATATATATATATATATATATATATATATATATATATATATATATATATATATATATATATATATATATATGTATAATATCAATCATTATAAAATAAATAAAAAAATCATTATAAATAAAGAACGTGCTACATATAAAATGTACCTATATATTGGTTAAACTACAGAAAGGTCATTGTCCGTTATCTCAATCGATTTGGCACATACTTTAGTCCAATTATTGATCTAAGAAAAAACACTAAAGATCCGTTTACCAACGCTAAACTTACTGCAGACTATGATGATTTGTTTATCGATAAAAATATCGACATAGTCCTCGCTCTACGTTGCTTACGCATATTGATAGCAGCACTAGTATATGGACACGTGTACAATTTGATGGTGTGTGTAAATGCAATGAACGCAAATGCTGTAGTGTGCGTATATATAGTTACACGATTCAATTTTGAGTTTGTAGTGAAGTATACAGTAGTATGTTTTTGTCGCCTCCCCATGAAAATGACAGTTTTTGTTTAGAAATTAACGCGCATGGCCTCCCCGGATGGTTAATTTCTCAAGGGTATTAAATGTCTGCACATGTGAACTATTAATCGAAGTTATATAATAGTGATCTTCTCCGGACCGAACTTCGGTCACGGCGGCCAGCCTTAACTCAGGCTAGCCATCGGCGCAGGACAGGATTATAGTGCCCAAGTGTATGCGCAGCACAGGTGCACTTTCTATTCCGTCACTGACATAGTCCAATGAGACGGTAAACCGACACGACTGAAGAGCTTAACGTGCTTTCAGACACACGGGGGTGAGACACCACCAATTTCCTGACTCCGGGTAGCTACTGAAGTTTCTTGACGGAAAAACACAATATCTGATTTTTTTATGAAATTGAAACCCGGGACCTAATGATCAGCAGTCGCGCTTAAAATCACTAAATTAGACTTGCTATTCTGGCATTCGTCATAAATATATTATGTGCCAAATCGATTGAAAGAAAGGACACATTTTATATGTAGTACTTTCTTTATTTACAATGATTTTTTTAATTTTTTTATAATGATTGATATAATATAATATATTTATTAACTATTATTAAAAAGTTATGTAAAAGATCGCTGTAGAAGAAAAATCATCTTTTGTTATAAAGTACTTTATTCATTTAACAACAAAAAGCATTAATTTATAACACCGAATAAGTACGTACTTATCCAAAAGATAAAACTTTATTGTCAATGTTATGTAAGAACTTTAGTTTTTTTCGGTGCAATCATCACCGGTCCAAAATAGGTGACGCATCTCTGACTGCCATTGTCACGTTTCTTTTAGAACGAACTGACGTAACGCGCGTTTTGTTTATTTTAAAAGGATGAATTTGCAAAAGCTCGATATGGTGGTTATATTGATTCAAATATTTTTTTTTTAATATGAAACTGTTATTAAATGAAATACTGCGTTACTTACCATAAAATGAAATATAAAATATAACAGATTTTTCGCGATGTACCGTAAGATTTTACGATGTTTATAGGAACCGCAGACAATATTATTTAAGAAACAAAAAAACGAAACATGTGCTGACCTAGAAGTGTGAATAATATCAATATTTAAATATTGTTATCACATCTAAATTAAAATTTTGTAAGTTACGCCTTTTGACATTCGACTCATATCTGAGGTCATTGTCCGTTTTAATTCTCAATCGATTTGGAACATACTTAGCAATTGCTTTTATAGTGATGCAACATTCAAGTTTTTGTAGCCGGCAAACCGCATTGGGACTCTTTCGACATTTACTGTCCACTGGGTAAAGTTTTTTCAAAATGTCCTAAAAACTTAACTATCTGATTCTAGAGAAGAATTTTTAAACAAATGTTAGACTAGGCTGTATGGGCGTAGATCCCTTTGCCTTTCAGTAAATATAAAATGTCAAACTGACAAATATGTTTGTGCTCGAAGACTGATATTATCGATTGTGATTGTGTAACGACTAAATAATGTTGTGACGTATATAATAAATTTTAATTGCTGTTTTACTGTAAAGTGCATGATTCCAAAAAATATTACACTATTCTTGACGTACAGTTACGTTTGGAAAGCCTTGATAAGTAAGAAAGTATCGAAATTTACTCATTGTAGAACATTGAACTATGAAAAAGGAAATTTGTACACCTTCAATAGAATATTTTGTTGCTAGATATACATTTTATACAGCACGACGCGAAGCTGATGAATCTTGCGAAGACTGGGCGTGTCGGCTGCAAAACCTTGCGTCAAAGTGTAATTTTGGAAATGAAGAAACTATCGTTGTCCGCGATATTTTTGTGTCCGGATATGGATCAGGTGCCGTACAAAACCGTCTTTTTGAAGAAGACCCATCCAGCACTAGCACAACTCTTTCGAAACTTATCGCATTAGCTAGCGTCTTAGAGACACCTATCAGCGAAAAAACACTAAACGAAACAATCAAGGATGAACCATTAGACGACCTGCTGTATACAAGTGAATCGTAGGTATCTCCAAAGCTGATTACAGATACCACAAGAAGTGTTCACTAGCTCAAATGCACATAATTATAAGACATAATCTTAAGACTTAATGTAAACTTTATGGTAGAAAAAAAAACCATATTAATTTACAGGTAGGTGGGCATATACCTCCTCTCATTTCTTAGACCTTTATGAAGTAATTAGTCTGCTGTGAGGCTCCAGTTTGTATTGACAGACTTCACATCATGTACTTGATAGAGCCACGTTGCAGCTATATTATGCTTGTAGCATGAAAGGTTCGGCTAGACCGGAGAGGAACCATGCTCTCACGGAATCCCAGAGTAAAATAGCAGCTTGATGCTGCTGTGTTTTGTATTGTGAGTGTAGTTACTGGAATCGAGGGATTTATACTTAGTTCTCAGGGGAGACAATGCATCTGCTTTTAATTGAGGTTAAATGTAGATGTCTATGGGCCACAGCATCCACTTACCATGGGGTGGACTATGTGCCCATTTGTCACCATATTTCTATATAAAAAAAATATATTTTATTCATCTGACGCTCAAGTTTCGTTATAATATTTTCCTTCTTTACCAAAGTTGTGGTAAATCAGCAACCAAAATGGCAATTAACAATTCAATTATTGTGGGTGGGAAATCGAACGCAGGGTAGGGTGCTCACATACTGTGACAATTATTACATTGTAATTGTTAATTGTTTTGTAAATTCTTATAAGAATAAATGTCTTTGATCCCAATTATTACATTGTAAATTGTTTTTACATGTATAAATTATAAAAAATTGCTGGTCTGTGTTAATTATAAATAATTGGTAAGTTAATAAAGAGTTGTTATAGTTTTTTTCACATTTTCTGAACTGAAATAGGGGTAGAGGAAAACCAGTGGGCACAAACAGGATACAGACAGTATCATGATGTCTCAACTGCCTGCCTGCTAATGTGTAATAATAATATTAATAGTTTTGATGGCTTGATAGTGTAGTTACTAAGCATATTCATGTGATACCTCAGGGCTACAGCTCCAAGTCCCACAAAAAAAAATGGTTTTGGGTTGTTTGTCTATGTGTATTTACATTCGATATCTCGGAAGGATTTTAACAGGGGTCTGTTCCCTCTGCTCTTGTTTTCCTGCTCCACATCAATGACTTACTTTTAACAGGTATAGTTAGATATGCAGATGACAGGACTGTCACAGAGAGAGGGACAGTAATAAGTTAATTCAGAGAGGCCAAGGTGGAGCAGATAAATGCGACCTAAAATCTGATCTCCTAATGGGGTAACAACAATATGAAATGAAATTAAATGAAGATTTATTTGCATGAAAAAGGGTACATTAGGTGGTTATTGTCTCTGATCTGATCACTTTCAATGCTGCCAAAACTTAGATCTGTCTGTTTTCCACAAATCGGAGTCTGTTTGATCTGGCTCCTACTTTCCACGGTACATCTGTGGAGGTTACTGATCATCTCGAGCTTCTCGACATACAGTTGAGTGCCAACCTCAAATTCAGTGGTAACGTAGAGCAAAAGCACAAACTGCGGCTAAAAAACTGGTTATTTGAACAAGGTGAAGCAGTACTTCATGCCTGGACAGCTTTTAACTTTACACAAAGCTCAAGTCTGAACATGCATGCAGTAATTTAGTCACTTTTGGGATGGCTCAACAAAATATCAACTTGCTACACTTAACTCAGTGAATTGCAGAGTCAAGAGGCTTTTAGTGACAAAAAGCTCGTGGAAACTAAGCTTCACAGCTTAGCTCACCGTCACCAAGCCTTGTTTGTCGGTCTTTTACAGAATCAGACATACTGTCAACCAAGTGTGCAAGGTAAAATGTATGCTCGAAGCGTTTAAAGTCATCTTTTATAATATGCACAGCCTAAACGAGAACTGCCCTGGCGATGTCTGTTTTCTGAATGCATTTCAAGGTGCAGCTGATATGCAACTATTAATTTAAAAAAATATTTACAAATGTAAAAGAACAGAACAAAATCCTAGTATGAGGGTATATTATTTCAAAAACATAGCTTTGTATTGTTTACCTGTTGTTGATATGAACTATAAAAGTACTATTACTCTATAATAGCACTTTTACTTGAATGAAATCCGAAAGAATGTAAACAAATCAAAATCACTATTATCCACCTCTCATATCAAAAAGTTATAATCATTATACTTACATCACATTTCGCTTCACAATAATTATTATTGGTTGTCATTTCTTGCATGTTTTAATTTAAATCAACCAAATTTGTATCTGTTCAACTGATCATTCAAATTACAACTGTTGATATTTTTAGAAATAGTGGATTTTCGATACGTCGATCATTATAAATATATTAATAATCGGAGTTTTACATATAAGTTTATTTATGGATATATCGAAAATCCAATATTTTAAAAAATATCAACAGTTTTAGTTTCAACTGATAAGTTGGAATGAACAGTTGAACTGACCGAGTGCGGCCACCATTACAATTATTTGACAGAATATGATATGAAAATTTAGTAATACTTTCTATCAATGTAAGTCTGCTTTTAAGATTAGAAAATATTACAATTGTTTATATTTTATGTGGGTTCCTTCTATATAATAAATATTTTTAATGTTTGTATTTTTGTTATGAATAGCAAAGGGTAATTGCTGATTTACTCCATGCACTGTGGTGAAGGAAATATTTTAAAGCATTGAGTGTGGCTCTAGAAGCATAAGAGTAAAGTCATTCATTAATTTAATTTATTAATTAATTATTACAAATGATAGGGTGAGAAATTGTGTGTTAAGAAAAAAGTGTAGTATGAAACATGCTATGACCATGATTAAAAATAAATGTTTAGGTGGATTAGATACGTAGAAAAAATGGATGCAGAAAGAGTTACAAAGCAAATTTATGCTGCAAAAGTGATTGGCATTGTCAGTATGGGATACCCTAGCTGGAAGTTTATTGACCAAAATGGCAATATATTGAAGATTGGCCAAATCAATTGTACCCTTAACTGACAAGCATGTATGTGTTCATATATGGATGAAATTGTGCCAAATGAAAGTCTGTGCTTTTCACTACCCTGAGGAAGGCAGAGGCTACAGATACAGTCGTGCAAATTTATGTATGTATGTTAAGTTCAAATACTAAATAAAGAATTAAACATTTTGATTTTCCTTGTAATAATACCAATGTGTGTACAAGTTGCACTTACATTTATATCTGTATTTATTCAGATTATTTTTGATAAATAAATTGAAACCAGGCAATATATTTTTTTTTAATTTTCTTTTTGTTTTATTCATTTTAGGTACTTATTAGTCCTTTTTATTATCACCATCATCGAAACCAATCCTTACAAGCGATTCCTTGTGCTTTATAAGTAAAAAATGGACTGACAAAATTTCACCTGGTATTATATTTATTGAAAACTTGGCAAACAGTGAAAACCGAGTAATAAACATTGCCTTATTAAAAATGAATATTTATGCATTAGTATTTGAAATTAACGCTACATAACGTTTGTAACTTTTCATACTTTATGTACAGTTAAAGTTTAAATAAATAATAAAGTTTAAATTCATAATCGTAACATAATATGTACTGAATCTCATAATTAATTTGTACATTATATAATAAATCCGCCAGCTATGAAGAACCGGAGCAATGCAGCGGAAGATTGTACTTTAACCTTTTTAGAAATTTGAAGAGACCTGCGCCCAGCTGTGGGACGGATATAGCCTATATCTTAATTACAGAACTCTAGTGCAAATAAATTTAGGTGTGGTTTACTAACGTAACGCTAAATTAAATACATCCATTTATTACTAATATACACTTTTTAGTTATTTTAGTTTTAGTAAGTTAGTTTATTATAAATACTAACTAACCTAGACTTAGACCGTCTTATTACAAAAAGTGGTTTATCTGTTTTGGGTATAAACTGTGGTATAATATAGGCCTTCTAAGAAACTCCCTTGACTGTCGAGCCACTGTTTTCGCGAAATTTGATATTTGCTGTTACATTACATTTTAGTTCGTATATTTCCGGGGGATTTCTTACCTAAAAGAGATTCTAGTTTTTAAACCCTAGACTAATTAAAAAATACTTTTTTAATAAGGCGAGACTGTTAACTGTGTTTAGTTTTGTAACAGAGGTTAACCCCCCTCCCCCCCCGTTAAAATATATCACAAATTCTATAATTAATGTTACATAGTATATTATTTATTTGTCAACAGTGAGTTATATCGGTTCTCGCCGACGTTGGGCGGCGGGCTAGGGCTTGGATTGAGCCCAGCGTTGGTCCCAGCGCCGCCATCTAAAGTGGACATCTTTTCACACCATCCAAGGTAAGATTGAAATGGTACCAAAAAAATAAAAAATTTCAATGTTTGATGTGTGATTTCAATCAAATCAAAACACAAAAATTAGTTGAAAGAAGTTTGATGATTGATTCAAAAAATGTGGTATGTACTAGTTAGTTGAACCACTTCGTTTACCGAAATATTCCATTTCTAATATTAATAATGTTAACTAATGGGTAATACCACGTCCACGTCTTGACAACCTTGCATTGCAGATGGATTTCTCGTCGAATTGTACTCGTTAGTCTGAAATTCTAGTTTGTAGATTTTTAAGTGGTTTACCTGCGAAATTTTTTGTATTCCTTTATTTGTTTTTTAATGAGACTTATCCAGTGCTCTAAACAATGACCGAGGCCTACTTTCGGTACTGAACTTAGACATAACAAACGAATAAAAAAAATATTGTTTCGGTTGTAACAGTTTTAAGGAATGGATAATCGAAACCATAAATATCATATTAGTATAGTAAAGGTACATTAATTTCTTAAGGTAATGTGTGGCGTCATCACATAGCTGCTTATTAGAAACGAATAAGTTCTAAGAAACGATCGAGGTTAGTTCTCACGAAGTTTATCACGTCGATCGCGATGACGATGTATGGAGCCAATCTAAGGACATTCTGCGCATAAGTGAATATGCGTGCCACGCTGGGCACGTTTTGGAATGGGTTAGTTCGGGACTATTGCTTTGCAAACGTATGATTTGTGATTGCTCGTTTTCTCGATCGATAGCCTAAAATAATCAGTGATAAAAGGGTATCGGTTGTTTCCGTTACATTACATCAAACCATTGATATTATACGTACCTACATATTTTTTTTGGTTATACACTTTAAACACAAGTGTACCTAATGATTTCTTATATTTACGCGAACACTACACATTGAAATAATACTAGTTTTTACGGATTTTATCGCGTATATTTAACTATAAATACCCGACGTTTCAAGCGCTTTACAGCACCCATGGTCACGGGGTGGGGGGTGGGGGACTGAGATGTTCAACGTACAGATGTCATAGTTAACAGCAGTTACCATAGATTAAAATTTAACTTTTGTTCCGATCTACACAGTATTAACTTATGGTATCTTGAAGTCTTGTTAGTTAGTCCGTGTTAAAGAACATATAGCTGATGTGAAGAATCGACGCTCCGGGAAGTCTGCAGTCTGTGAACACGTACAGGATCGCCCCCGTCACTACATCAGATTTGATAGACCACAAATCCTCGCTAAAGAACACCGATTCCTTCCAAGGATGATTCGCGGGGCTATCGAAATAAAAAAAACATCCTAATTTCAATAGAGTCAGAGAGCGCAGCGTAAATACAGTATGCGCAAAGCAAGCAAACAATTCACCTCCAAACAAAAACTTTTCCGCTGAGGTTTCCTGTTCGCAACACTACTAGGTATTTTAGTAATAATATTTTGAGTACCTACTCACTAATATCAAAACTGTTTACGAGCTCTGGAGTCTGGACATCATACTACATTTTAATTATCAATACTTTTTTTAAAGTCAGTTTTATGATATAAGCAGGTACTTAGTCAACTATTTACATACATATACATTTAAAACGCCAACTCACAAATTCCAAAGAAACCCAAGTTTCGTTGGCAAAATAGCTAAAATAACAGAAAAAGAATAGTTTAAAATAAAACCACTTGAAAATTCAAGCTTATTTTACTGTTTTGTATTACCTTACCTCCGGACTTGACGGAGTGACCTGAAAGTGTACTTGGTAACCGGTATTGGAACTGGTCGCCGAGTACTACTAGGTGTGTCGAGTTTGGGCTCGTTTTGTTAGGTATGATGAGTCCTTACCTCCGGACTTGACGGAGTGACCTGAAAGTGTACTTTAGTAATCGGTATTGGAACTGGTCGCCGAGTACTACTAGGTGTGTCGAGTTTGAGCTCGTTTTGTTAGGTATGATGAGACCTTACCTCCGGACTTGACGGAGTGACCTGAAAGTGTACTTTAGTAATCGGTATTGGAACTGGTCGCAGTGTACTACTAGATCTGCCGTGTTTGGGCCCGTTTTATTAGGTATGATGAGTTCTTACCTCCGGACTTGACGGAGTGACCTGAAGATGTACTTTGGTAATCGGTATTGGTACTGGTCGCGTACCTAGTACCGCGTACGCGGTGTACCTGATTACTAAAGTACACCTTCAGGTAACTCCGTCAAGTCCGGAGGTAAAGACTCATCATACCTAACAAAACGAGCCCAAACTCGGCACACCTCGTAGTACTTGGCGACCAGTTCCAATACCGATTACTAAAGTACAACTTCAGGTCACTCCGTCAAGTCCAGAAGTATGGACTCATCATACCTAACAAAACGAGCCCAAACACGGCACATCTAGTAGTACTCGGCGACCAGTTCCAATAGCGATTACTAAAGTACACCTTCAGGTCACTCCGTCAAGTCCGGAGGTAAGGACTCATCATACCTAACAAAACGAGCCCAAACACTGCACATCTAGGAGTACTCTGCGACCAGTTCCAATAACGATTACCAAAGTACACCTTCAGGTCACTCCATCAAATCCGGAGGTAAGAACTCATCATACCTAACAAAACGAGCCCAAACTCGGTACACCTAGTAGTACTCGGCGACCAGTTCCAATAGCGATTACTAAAGTACATCTTCAGTTCACTCCGTCAAGTCCGGAGGTAAAGACTCATCATACCTAACAAAACGAGCCCAAACTCGGCACACTTAGTTCTACTAGTTCAGGTGTTCCAGTATTAGTTACTGAAGTTCACCTACAGGTCACTCCATCAAGTCCGGAGGTAAGGTCTTATCATAACTGACAAAACCAGCCTAATGTCCACAGCTAACATCTCACTGTTAGTAGAGGGCTCCCAGTGCCAAGCAGTCTCTAGAGTAGGTATTCGTATTTCGTATCTAAATCTAATTACTCTATGTATCTAAGTATATTTTTGAGGTATAAGAAATCAAAAACAAATTCGATCTTTCAAATTATCAAAATAATTTTATTTGACTACGATTCCCGCAGCCAACCGTGCGTACACTTGTGTCAATGTAATAGTTCGATTCTATACCTATATCAATTTTGTAAACGCGTCCTTAAAAAATCTTAACGTAAATATTGCGGCAAAAAGAGCGACACGTCTCTACAGCACCAGGCCTCGGCCGGCAGTGACTCTGCACAGGCGTTTACGCAAACATCCGTACGTATTATTTCAGAAATGGGGGCCTACACCCAGTCGACAAACTTTTGTTGACATTCACTTAAGATTGTCGCAATATGGCATCCAAAGGCCGCCAAATGAACGCTCCCGCATAGTGTCAGTGCAAGCAGAAGAAGAAGTTCTTCAATTTATTTACCGAGATCCCAGGCTCAGTGTAAGGCGAATAGCAATGATGCTGCATTTGTCAAAATGGGTTGTGTGGAAAATTTTAAAACGCGAAGGCATGCATCCGTACCATTTTCGTCGCGTACAAGATATTCGATAGACAGACTATGCTGTGCGAGCCATTTTTTGCTCGTGGCTCAACGGTTGTGTGCGACGTCAACCGACATTTTGTAAAAAATCATGTGGACCGATGAGGCGACTTTTACAAGAGCTGGTATTATAAACCATAGAAACCAGCATTTATGGATGCAAGAAAATCCAAATGCAGTAAGGCCCAGTAAATTTCAACATGAATTTTCAGTAAATGCGGCTCTGATTGATGACAAATTAATTGGACCAATTGAATTACTAAATACAATGAATGGCCTAAGATTTTTAGATTTTCTAAGGAACACATTTAGAGAAATCATGGAGGAATTACCAGTGATCAACCGAAGGCGCATATGGCTACAGTTAGACGGTGCACCAGCTCACTACGCACGTGCTGTGAGAGCTTTTCTTAATGAAAATTATTCACCATGGATAGGACGGGGTGGAACGGTAGCTTGGCCACCTCGCTCTCCGGATTTAACACCTCTGGATTATTTTTTATGGGGATGGATGAAGCAGAGGGTTTATGCTACAGTCCCAAATAGCAGACAAGAACTGCTCGACAAAATAATGACGATTGCGGATGACATAAGATCCGACATAGTCTTAATATCAAGGGCCACACAACAAATGGCTGTAAGGTCAGTAGCCTACAGAATAGAGGTGCACATTTTGAACAATTATTAAATTAATAATAATACTTAATGCCATTAAAAGTTTCTTAAATGTTATAGTGTATTTTTATTTAATCCATTATCGAAAATTAATAGCGCTCATATGAGGCTCTACATACATGACCCTCGCAAAAGGGTCATATTCAAACAGCCCTAACTCTCGAGTTATGCAATTAAGAACAATAATTTTAATGTCAATTTGTAAGTAATATCCTTAAGTATTAGGACAGTATTAAAAAATTTAGTATCATTGTGCTAGTTTTTGAAGTATATTAAGAAAAATAAAAAAGTAGTCATTTTTTTTAACTTAAATTAGCATTGTAAATGTTTTAAGATATTTTGTAGGGAAAACTTTCCATGATGTTTATTTTTACTTGATAGATGCTATTTTTACCTTTTAAATAAATTTTTTTTACATCTGTAGGACCTTTCTGTCCAGAGAAATCTGCATCTTTTGGCAGAGTTATCTACAAGAATAAAAAAAAATTAAGTAGGCGTAGGCGTAGACCCCCATATATGGGTGTTTTCGTCGATGAAATTAGGTATATTTTGTAACCTTAAATTGTCGCTAGGTCGTGACCAGACACACTGTATATTATTCTATTATATTAGTATTAGTTTATATATATATCATATGTAACTATCGTATTTATTATTTTTATCTACTGATTTATTTTATTTTAATTTATTGTTTTATTTTATAATTTTCGTAACATTTGTATATTATTTATTCATTTGTAGCAGTAATATATGCACTAAGTTTGCCATTTAAATATAATTTCCTTTATGGGTCTACTGGAAGATATTTCAGCAAATTATGGAATAAGTAGTACCTTTGTA